TTCAAATCCCCCGCGGCGACTAAATTTTGCAATCAAGGTTGGCGGCCACTTGTTGGCTTCAAAATGGTCCTGACGATGAATTTGACATCTGATTTTGATATTTAGCGCGATTTGGCACCAAACCGTAGGCGCCAACCCAAATGCAAAATTTAGTCGCCACGGGGATCGAACCCTTAACAGTACCTTATGCTTCTTTTTTGGTACTGCTATAACCGTTCAGCGAAAATGAAACATGGTTTTGCGTTCCCTACATGCGTCCCTACAATATGCACAAAACCGTTTTGAAAAAGCGCACCTTGCCCTGAAAGACCTCCCTTGTGAGTGACATACTCCGGTTTCGAGCGATAAAAACGCCAAATATTGTAAATTATGACAGAAGAAAGAAGGAAAAGCTCACCCCGGAGTTTGTTAAGAAGACAAATCTATTACAAAACAAATCAACCAAATCCATGGTAACAGAGTCGCGTCAAAAAGAGGGTAGAGAATGTGTTGGTTCAGGATGTGACAAAGCAACATAGAGGTGGCAAAGGACGGAACGGTCGTCAAGCGAGCAAATTTTTGACATTTATTTCTCGCCTCTATGCAACCCCTTCTCTTCATCTCCCATGGACAGCCGAAGTGGCATACATATAGAATTGATAGATCACAAAGGTTGAAAAGGGGTTGTTGAGGAGGCAGAGAAAGAAAATGTGTAGAACATATAGCTTAAACGCACGCTTCTCCCTGAATACAACGTCTCATTTAACATTTTAAGGGTTCACAGATTTCGTTCAAACTATTCCATTTGCCCCTGTGGATAAGTCTTACGATGTATGCGGCTTTTTCAATTTTAATGCTTCATTATTCATAGAATTTATTGCTGGTAGCAAAGCTTAAGCGTTGGGCACAGGTGATGAAAGGGGTAACGATTTTACTGCACTAACGTCTATGAATTATGAAGTAACCAGTCAGGATCGCCACCTGACGCCAAGCTCTCCTTCCTTCTTATGGAATCGCCTGGCAACGTTCTTCAATAGAAAGATATACCCTACCCTTGAAGGAACAAACCTCAGACCACAACATACACAACGTACCGACATACACAAAGACAAACCGACACACCAAAGTTCATTCATATAATGAGGTGATACAAATTTTATAAAAATTGGCGCTATCGCAATGTACGGGGGCAACCTCCAGGATTAAACAGGACCAGGAGGGGCAGGAACTCTGACGAAAATGAAAATGAACGCCTTTGGAGTTTCTCCAATCCCGCCTAGAGCTTAGCCCCGTTCACATCAAAAAAGACACGTCTTACGCGTTTCTGAATCGCGCCACCACAATGCCGCCATGTATTGCGAATAGGCGCCTAAAAATTCAATGCGCCGTGGAACCTCCCCACCAGGCAGTAACACCTTCTCCGCTAAAGAAGAAATCCCTGAGATTTTCTTCCGCCCACCGAAGAATTATAATGGCTACTCTAGCAATTTAAGCGTTAGACTGTAAGCTCATTGAAACCTATATAAATTTTACAGCCCCACGTAAATAGGGCGGAATAGAAGAAAGTGGAAGAATATTAATTGGGACTAGTTGATAAAGGGAGAACATAATGAAAAAACGATGGGAATGCGCATTCTTCACTGGGCACGCTAAATTTTGAAGCATTCGCTGACTAATTAACTAATTAATTCACCATCGAACGTCAAAAAATTTCTTCATATGCATTCCCTCGCCCACATCGATGCATTTGAGCGCGCATTCGTGGGATGCTTCAGAAGCTACTTTATAATGAA